CATAATGTAGGAAGATAAACCTAATAAAAATGAAAAATGAAAAGAATAAAATTAAAAACAGAAAATAGAAGGAAACCGAAATCTGGTCATTATCATGATCACTAGTACATACTAACCTCACGCCATCCTAATTCAGAAAACAGAGAGAAAACAGAGGTCACCGTGCTAACAGCCGGAACAGAGTGAAACCGAAGTCAGCACAGCCCAGTCAGCCTCAGAGCTCTGAGCGCCAGAGCGCAGCACACAGGTGCCGCCTGGCAGCCCCACTGACTCCCACACACACAGCCCCCCAGTCTGAGCCGGACTCCCCCACTGCCCCTCAGGCAGGGCTACTCCGGCTGCTTCCCACTCGTGGGGTCTCCCTCTTCCACCCATGTGAACAATTGATCAGCAAACCCCATGGGCTGGTCCTCAAAACACACCTAGAACCCAGCCCCAACCCCTAGCTGCTCCCTCAAATCCAGCCACCGGCCACCGGATCCACACGACAGCCTCTAACCTGGTCCTGCTTTGCGCCACATGCAGAATGACACCTCCCCCGCAGGCCACACGGCTGCCAGGGTCCGTGCCGGACCGTGGGACCCTCCCCTTTCCTCCCCTTTCCTCTCCTGCCCCCTGCCCCACCCACTCCAGCTCATGGCCTCCCACCCTGATGCCAGACACTGTCTCCAGTGTCACTTGGGCTGACCAGCTAGCTCCCTCCTCAGCTCCTCACTCAAAGGCCATCCTATTTAAAATCCCAGCACCTCCAGGCCCTCCAAGCCCCCTCCTACTCGGCTCTTTTCTGTTTACACACACAGCACTGGAACAGAAACTCCAGAAGACGCAGGGCTTGCGCCTGGCTCAGGGCTACAGCCCACGGCCCCGGGCACTTCCCAGCACATCCGGGCACTTAGTAAACATGTGCTGAGTGAATGGACAGGCAAGTGACTGCAGACAGGAGCCATCAAAAGAACTACAAGAGAACCCTGCACTCTGCTATACAGAAACAAGTGTGAAAAGGCAGCAAATGTGAGGTCTCCTAACAAAGTATAATTTATAAAACTGGTCCAAGTTCTTTTTGTTTCTTAACTAGCTAGGTACGCGATTCTCTCAGCATTAAAGAACAAGTAATTTACATGTTATTTAAGTTATTCCAAGCTACAGAAAAAGTTTTTTATAACTCTCCAACTCACTTAAAAAATCAGAATAAAACTCTAGGTAAAATAGGAATAGAGGGAGCTATTTAAATATAACACACATGGTAGTTTTTTTTAATTTAACAAAATTCAGATCCACAACATACACTGGTCTCTCATTAACAAACACAAACAACCTAATAGAGAAATGTGCAGCATATATGAAGAGTCACCAAAACCCAGATTCGAATGAGAAACAAACATTTAAAAAGAGGTTCGGACATGCACCACAATGTTCACAGCAGCACTGTTTACAACAGCCAAGACATGGAAACAACCCAAATGCCCATCAACAGATTATTGGATCGAGAAGCTGTGGTATATTTATACAATGGAATACTACTCAGCCATAAAAAAGAATAAAATCGTGCCATTTGCAGCAACATGGATGGACCTGGAGATCATCATTCTAACTGAAGTAAGCCAGAAAGAGAAAGAAAAATACCATATAATGTCACTTATATCTGAAATCTAAAAAAAAAAAAAAGACACAAATGAACTTATCTACAAAACAGAAACAGACTCACAGACATAGAAAACAGACTTATGGTTACCAGGGAGGAAAGAGGGTGGAAAGGGATAAATTAGGAGTTTGAGATTTGCAGATACTAACTACTATATATAAAATAGATAAACAGCAAGGTCCTACTGTACAGCACAGGGAACTCTATTCAACATCCTGTAATAACCTATAATGAAAATGAAAAAGAATACGGAAAAGAATATACATATGTATATGTGTGACTAAAACATTATGCTGTGCACCTGAAATTGATGCAACATTGTAAACTGACTATACGTCAATAAAAATTAATTAATTTTTTAAAAATTAAAAGAGAGTTGGGAGGGTGTAGCTCAGTGGTAGAGCACATGCTTCACATGCATGAGGTCCTGGGTTCAATCCCCAGTGCCTCCATAAAAAAGAAAAAATGGGGCTCAAAATCACTAGCAGTGAGTGAAATGAGAATTATAGTCCCCACAAAATATCACTTTAAAAGCATCAAATTGCCCTCAAACCGGCAAAAGTCAAAAGCAGCCGCACCATCTACAGGACACAGGCAGACGTCTCCCGTGCTGCTGGGGAGCGTGACCTCACAGCCTCCCTGCGCATCCCTGACAGCTGCAGACACCGCTCCCTCAGCAGCCCTGCTCCCTGGAGCCCTCTCACAGAGACAAAGCACTGGTGAGGGAGGACCGGTGGTGGAGGACTTGGGGGGCAGCAACAGCCCGAGGGTGGGCGCATGGCCGCGCACAGGAGCAGCGGAACACAGGACGGTGAGCCCAGACAACAGACGCCACACAGCCACTTACGAGAGCGAATTCGAACCAGACTAATTGATGGGAGGGGGTTGCAAAGGCACTGATGAGAAAAATTCGCATGAAATTACCTCTGCAACGTGAAAAGACCCCAGACCCCACAGCATGTCTGGAACACGTGCGTGCAGGAGTGGTATCTGAGATGAATGTCTGGAAACGAGGACAAACCCCAAGCTACTAACGTGGGTTTACTGGGGACACAGAGGGAAGGCATAAATAAATAGATAAACAGACAAGTAAACACTCAGATACTGTCATTCGAGAGCTCTGTCTTGTAAACTAACAATGTAACGGGAAGGAGCTCTTCCGACTCAAGCCCGCTCCCACGTGGCGGGGGGACAAGGGGGTCCTGGCTGGCCCTGACTGGCACCGGTGGTGAACGCTGTCACTGCCCAGGGCCGGCCCCTCCCACACCAGGTCCCTTTTGCCGCGGAGCCACAATGACAGGGCATTGGGCGGGGAAAGGCCTGGGAACTTCTGGTTCTAGACTCTTGGTACCAGGCTGAGAGGAAGGCAACCGAAAAGGCTCTGCCTGATACAAGACCCGGGTTTCCCTTGCACCATCTGACAAGTCGGAGAGGAAGCCAAGCCCTCGGAGGCGGCAGGTCCCGGGAACGTGGACGGCACACGGGGCTTAGAAGCGAGGTGGCAGCCCCTACCATCAGTGACACACACGGCCCTCGGCCTTGGGACGTGCCTGGGGGCTCCACACCCACGTCGGGGGACCACAGAGCCAAGAGCAGCCAGCAAAGCGTATGACACGAACGAGCAGGAGGGGACTTGCAGGGGCTGTACACACAGCCCCCCCCCCCGCCAGGGCCAGCCCCAGAAAGACACCCGCACACGGAGGGAGCGGCACTTGGGGTGGGCAGTGGGGACGGAGGGGAGGGTGGCCCCAGGGGCTGGGAAGTCTGGTGACAGGAGGGAGCAGGGTGCACACTGTACACACAGTCGCAGGCCCCGCAGAGCCAGGAGGACCCGGGAGACTCACCTGCAGCACAGAGGTCTGCAAACCGGTCCTCCCCCTCCTCCGCGTGGATCAGGTCGTTTCGGCTCTTCTTGGTGGCCGCCCTCTTCAGCACTGCTTTAAACAAAGAGGTGTGGGCATGAGCTCGAGTCCCCAGCTGGCCTGCCTCAGGGCCGGTACGTGACACTATCCCCCACCCAGGGGACAGCCTTTCCTGATCGCCCATCTCCTACCCCGGAGCCGATGCTGGAGTGGGGCAGGGGGGCTCCCACGGGTCCCTCTTGGTCCTCAGAGCAAAAGGGACAAGGGAGGGACTTCGAGGGTGGGGCATCAGTGGGGAAGGCCTGGCTGCCACCGAGACCAGGACATGTCCACACTCTAAGGCCAGGTGAGACCAGAGAGATCAGGTGAAGGCTGCAGAGGGACCCAAGCAGGCCTGACCCCGCCCAGCCCACCACAGCGGGCATGGCCACGCTGCCTGGCCCTGTCCTGAGCAGTGGGTGTGGAGAAAGAGCAGCCTCCCTGCCCTGGGCTATGCTGGTGGCCGGAGCCGGTGACCGAGGTTATGTCGGCCTCGTTCCCACAGCACTCCGGGGCAGCGCCACCCTGAGCCCCGGGGCCGGTACAGCTTGGTTTAAACCGGCAGTTCTAAAGCTTCCAGAAGTGCTCTCATCAGTACAGCAGCCAACAGCCCCGTCTGGCTCCTGAGCATGAGGAACGTGCTGAGCGGGGCCGAGGACCAGGACTCTATCTCACTGCCACATCCTCACGCGAAAGCACACACAGGCACAGGCAGCCGCCGTGTGCACCACACAGCTCCTCTGACGCCCGCGCCAAGCCCACTGCCACCAGAACCCACTCTGGGCCACGGCACACAGCTCCCCCAGGGTGTGCAGCTGCCACTACAGGGCCTGCAGCCAGAACGACCTCTGCCCAGGACCGTGTTAACGTGAAGGGTGCGCGCGTGCCTGGCAGAGCAGACGTGCACCCGCGTCGCTGCCTCCTGGGCCAAGAAAGCGCGCTGGGCGAGTGCTGAGAGCGGTCACCTACCGTCCAGCGGGGACTTCTCCTCTGCATTCTTGTCCTCCTCGGCCAGCATGACTTCCTCTGTGAGTGAGACACACCCTCAGGCCAGAGCCTTCCTGTCCCCTCCCCTGGCCAGGACGCACCCCCAGGAACCGGGCAGATGGAGGCCACCTCTGCCTGCAAGGCCTGGCTCCTCAGCCCTCAGCCTTCCAGCAGCCAGTGGGGCCCTCGGCCGAGCCTTCCCCACCAAGACTGACCCCCACGTGTCCCGCAGACGGTGCCCTGTGAAGAGGGCCCGGCTGGCTCCCCCTCCCAGACACCCTCCCGAGACCAGCCCTCCCACAGGTGAGCTCAGCACTGGGAAGGCCCCAGGAGCGGGTGCTCCACACGGAGGAAAGGGCGCTGCCTGGGCTGCAGGAGGGAAGGCAGGGGCGCAGAAGGGGCTCCGGTAGAAACAAGCTCCAGGCTGGGCCGTCTGGGGCCAGGCCCCTGGCTCAGCCACGCAGGACCCCTCTTCACCACGAAGCCTTCTCAGAACCTCTCAGCTCTGTCCCCCGAGATGGTCTCAGCCACCCAGGGCCAGGGGACCCCAGCTGGCAGCCAGAGGGAACCTGGGGAGAAGGAACCAGCAGAGGACCAGCCAGGAGCTGCGCAGGCCCTGCCCTCACCAGCCTTGAAGATCCACTCCAGGTACCCGTTCAGCTCCCGTTCAATCTGCTGCTGCCGGCGAAGCTTCAGGAAGGCCCGGCGGTTCTCCACCCGCTCCCGCTCCTTGGCGAACTCTCTGTGACACGCAGGGCCAGAACAGGAAGCAGGTCAGGGGCAGCGTGTGGCCCAGAGGCGGGGGAATCAGGAAACTGTCCAGGCTGGGACAGGACGTGCAGGCCACGGGCAGCCCCTCCAGGTGGCTCCCCCTGCCCCCTGGCCTCTTCCCACCTGACCACTTCAGGGGCCCAGGCGAACCCTCCCGCCTCAGACCCCTGCATGCTCAGGCCCTGGTGCACCTCAGTGCCCAGAGACGGGCTCCAGAGGCCAGGACAAGCCCGCACCCCTCTGCCTAGAGCGGGCCTGGCATGCACCCTCCAAGTGCCAGGCCTGTCCTCTGAGCAGAGATGCTACAGAGACAAGAACCCCAGAGGAGAACTTCCACTTTGTCTCTTCTGCTGGTTCAGACCCAGAGCCATAGAGGGAGGAGGGACAGACAGGAACAGGGGAAGAGGGCTGGCTCAGGGCAGGCCAGAGACAATAGGAAAACGTTCTAGAGTCAAACCTTTGAGGCTCGGAGGAGCAGGAGACAGAGCTTCTGCCCTCCTCAGCCCTCAAGCAGCACGTCCCCAGCCTCCCAGCCAAGCGTTCAGGCTCACAAGGCCAGAAGGAAGCCGTCACACACACGCACACGCCAACACCCGAGCTCAGGCCCAATGCAGGTCCCCAGAGGGCGGGCAGGCACACCCCCACGGCAAAAGCTACGCCTGTTTCCAGCCTCCAGGAGAAGCCAATTCTGGGCTGGGTGGAGTGGGCCTGGCAAGCCTGACTCCTGCTGCACTGCCTCGGTGAGAGGAAGAGCCTGGCTCTGACCAGGACAGACCCCAGGCCTGCGACCGGCGTCCACCAGGGCCTGAGCTGCTGCTGCAACCCCGGCACTGACAAGACCTCTCGTCCCTCCCAAGCCCCGAATCTCCAAGAACACAGGGTCCCTTGGGGTCTCCCCTTGGCCACGCCTGAGGGTAGGAGGGCCTGGGCAGCAGGGGCGGACAATACTGGCAGAGTCAGTCTAAGAACCTCAGCGGAAGGCGCTGCAGCCACCAAGGCCCGG